GAGGTAAATTTCAGCAGGGGCTGAAACTGGGGAATGGGAGGTAACTCCTCCCTTCCTCTCTATTTGGGATAGTAACAAAGCTCCACTCCTCTTCCTGACGGCGAAGTCCCTGGAAATCAGACAGAGGAATCCCACCCAGTGTTACATTCTCAAGGCAATTCACTTTCTCTTGTAATACGGGGAACTGAGGGTCCTGGTACAAAGCACTTCAGGGAAGAACCTGATAAATGTTTTCAGGACACCAACACCCAAGAAACCCACTGGCACAAACACCAAGCTGAGGTGTTCAGCACAGCACTAAAGCCTGCCTTGCCAGTGTCTCCACGTACCAGTCACACAGTGCATGGCTTGTTCTCAGCAAGAGGCATAAGGAACAGAACCATCTCCATTTGATCCCTGCACTGGACTATGGCCAAGAGTAACAGATGGGAGTCTGCAGGATGGTCCAGCATCATTCTGTACAATCCATGTTCCACTGCACTGCTGTTACCCTGGCTCCCCCCTTCACTCACCATTTTACACGTCACAACTCGACATTTCACTTCTTTAATGCTCCTCATCTTCTCTTCTAATTCTTCCTTTTTCACCAGTGGCTGAAAGTATTGCTCCTGCAGTTCAGCCTCAACCTGTGAGGGCACACACAAAAGGTTGTGGGAGGATAAAGATGGGAGAAGCCATTCCATAAACAGCATTAGGGCAAATTAGTGCTGGGTCTGTTTTGAAGTACACTGCAGTCTGGGAGCCAGAGAAACCCCAAATACGTCTTGCTTCCAAAGAAGCCCATATAGCGCACATGCTGTGATCACCAACACTGAAATGAGCCACCTCTGAGATGAATGAGTGGGAGGTTTAACAGCAGCATAAGCACATACCTGCAAGGACAGTGCAGGGAGAGGTCAGGCAGGCAGATGTAATAAATAGGCTTGGTTCTTAGCCAAACTATTACTCTTCAGAAGACCTTAAACCAGCTGGGACTTCATACCAATATAATGTGTCCAAGACAAGAGCCCTGTGCCACTGGGAACATGCTCAGCAAAGACCCTGACAAGAGAAACCCAACCTCTGAGCTCTTCAGAGCAACTGCTGGCATTTCACAGGCTGCACAACTTAGGTGAGTCCCAGACGAAGATGGCAGCTGTCCTTATGGTGACCAAGATGTCAAAAACTGAGGGACCAAATAGGCATGTGGCTAACTTGGTTTCAAGGCACAAGGATTTCTTTGTTCATCCACTAACCAGGAAACTTCACTGACTCTTCCAAAAAAACCTGATGGCAACTTGACCTTCCCATGGCTATGGCAGTAATGGTGATTTGCAGCCTGTGTGCTCAGAGGTCCCTGACCCTACTCATAAAATCAGAATGGTTTAGGTTGGAAAGGACCTTAAGATCATCCAGTTCCAACCTCCTGCCATGGGCAGTGACACCTCACACTAGACCGTGTTGCCCAAGGCTCTGTCCAACCTGGCCTTGAAGCCATCAGGATGATTTGGTGCCTGTTACACGTTTGTGTGCCTGTTCCTTGCTGAAATCATTAGGAGTGCAGACAGCTCCCTAGTTCTGAGCTCTCAGTCATGGCTGGATTGAGGCCATACCTCTTTGAGGACATCTGTGTGCTTAGACTTGGCATTCAGGATTTTCTGGAACTCTTCTGACTCCAGATAGGCCAGCTGCTCACGCCGTTTCTTTTGGGCAGGCTCCAGTTCATTCATATCTAGAGAGACAAAAAGGCTGAGTCCTACAGAGACCAAGTTCAAAACGAGGTTGTGATCTCTAAGCATGGTCACTGCAGGAGATTTTGGAAGTCTCAGGTCTCTCAAGCAGATGTTCAGGTCAAACAGCAGGAACATGAATAAGGTTTCAGAACAAAAAGCTTTTTTCATTTAATAACATTGCCTCTTCTCTCAAAGCTGTACCAGGAATTTCCACATTACTTCCAGGGAGCGAGCAGCGCTGCCTCCCTGACTGCTGGGGAAGCATTAAAGGGAATGAAGCAGTTCATCCAAGATCACACAGTAAATCACCAGCAGGCAAACTCAAGTTCCCACAGAAAATTCAGACACCTTCCCAGGTGGGACTGTTTGGTTTCCCTTGGTTAAGTCAGCCATGCTCAAGTGCCAGAAGAAAGAGAAGAGACATGAGGACTGGGAGCTATCAGAGCTTACATCTCACACTCTCTCCACAGGGCTAAGAGATGGTTCAGGCTTTGCAACAAACCCTTGAGGTTCTAAACAGACTTAACTTGGCCTCTCTTTGGTTTTAACTCAGCAAGTGTTCGGCACGACATAAGCATGATTTTTCTCTCCTAGAAGCTAACATTACATACCATTCTCTGCTTCTGTACCTTGTGGCTGAGCAACATTCTTCTCAACTCTTTCAATGATTTCTAGGACATCAGCATCATCAGCTCGTTTCCTCTTGACATTGTTTGGGTCAGTTTTAGCAAGAACCTGCCCTTTTGCTCGCAGTCGGCGTATTGCAGCCAGCTAGAAACAAGAGAATAGCAGTGAATGTGTTGGTGACCAACCTGGCTTCCTTGTTCCTGCTTCCAGAAGTAGCACAGGAAATCTGTTGAATGGAGGAGACAAAGATCCACTGAGCACAGAGCTGGCCAAAGAGAGGCCCAGCCAAACTCCCAGCTCTGCTGCATGTGTCATTCACAACATACCCAATCTCTTGTGACTTCCTAAACCATAAAATCACTCCTAGAGTGGTGTTACCAGGCTTGATAATGCTGCAGCTGTGCTTTAACTGCTTCTCATATCAGTACCTTTTCCAGAGGAATCAAATCAGTTGGGATTTCCACATAAACTGGTAATAATTGGGAACTAAGAGAAACTTGTCTACAACTATCCCTTGCCATGCTCCCAGAATGCTGAGACTCCTTCCTCCTTGCTGGAAGAGAGAAGTTTCTCTGACAAACATGTGAACACATTTGTGCCAAGGCAAGATGCAGTCTGTTCTGGCTGGAAACCAAAATTATCCAAACTCATGACACAACACAGCTGAACTAGTTTTGTTCACTGCTGCTTGCCTGGCAAACAGAAAACACAGTGCACTGCACCAGCAGTGCCAAAGAACAAACGTGCAGTTTAGCTTTCCAGGGGTTTTCAGCACTAATTCCATGTCCCTTCCCAGCACTTCAGGGTTTTCATGCTTGTAAAATAATCTATAGCAACAGGCTTTGCTCTCCTTTCTTCTGTAAAAACCACTTCAGCACCTCCCATCCTGATTCAGGACCTACCCACAATCTGATGTCCCAACCCCCCAAAATACTAGAGCAGAAAGAGCAGCCAGTAGTGGACAGAGAAGCTCCATCCCACTTGCATGAAGAACAGAGTACAAGGACAGCCACAGGGCTTCTCCAAACTGCTTTCCAAAGGTAGTTTGCCCAAGGGGTGACAGACTATGTCAGATCATGAAGAATGGAGTCAGTTCTGCTCAGAGAAGCTGCCAGCATGCACAAAGAAGTGTTTCTTCAGCAAAAAGCTTAGCATCAGGTTCATGACTTAACTGAGATGCTCTATGTCCCCATCCCTTCTTCCCCAGCCCCATCCCAAGAGGCTGTTCTGTCCCACATTGGCACTTGCTGAAATTGCCAGTGGTGTCAGTGGCTTCAGTGGTGCTTGCCTTGAGGGAAGATCAAGAGTGAGCTCATGAGCATCACACGCACGAGACAGATCATAACAATTCACTTCTGATCAGTCCAGGTGGATTTTGAACAAGCAAGAGAAACCAGCTCCAGCGGCCAAATGTCACACACAGAAGTCCCTTTTCAGCTGCTGTTCCACTGCTCTGGAGGTTGACTACAAGCATGGACCTTGGTACTAAGGGCTGTCAGGAGCACACACATCAGAAACGTCACTGATGTTACGAGCTGAGCTGGCCCATATCTGACCAAAGACCCCTCTACTACCACGAACCAAACTTCCCTTAACCTCCCCTTCTTAATACTTAGAAGATTGAAAGAGCTGTTACCTTTTTGGCTTCTGCCAAGCTGTCTAGCTTTGGTTTTGGAGCAGGAGGAGACCCATCAAAGAAGAGGATATCTTCTCCTTCTGAGAAGCCTGTGCCTAGCCTGGGCCTTTGAGGAGTTGACATTTTGGCAGCTTTGGGAAACTCTGCCCCAGGCATTGGGGAATGGTGTGAGGACTGTCTGGAGGAGGACAGGGGAGCAGGGCTGCCAGCTTTACTTGTGCTCTGGAGAAACCTTGTAAGACAAGAATAATCCATTAACATAAGGACACAAGTCAAAGAGACAGAAAGGTTTGAGAAACAGGAATGGAAGGGATGCAGACTGGGATTTTTAACTAATTTGCCTTCTATTGCTAGGAAAACATGCAGCAATTGAGGCATTTTGGAGAGTGAAATAAGACTGGTAAGGAACTCACTCATACCAAGAGTGACCTGAAGTCACCAGAAGGAGTGAACAACCAATTGCTTTCAAAACTAAAACCAGAGAGAAGCATCAAGTGAAACTGGGAAGTGGGAACCAAAACCACTTGGAAAATTGGGCTTCTTTGCAGGATAGGTAGTTAAGCAGGAAGACTCCTTGTCACAGAAGTCACATAAAGGACAGGTTCATGGGGCTTGTGGGGGGAATCCCTTCAGAGATACTATAACAGACACCACCCTTAGCTTGGGAAGTCCCTAAAATACACACTGTTGTAAGCTGGGAGAGAATTTGGGGGCAATATCACCATGATTGTGCCTAGTCTTATTCTCTTTCAAGTTCTGTTTTGGCTCCTGCTGAGCCTTCTGAGGCTACATCAATCTTGGTCTCACCCAGGGTGGCTCTTCTGAGGTGGTTCTTAGGTTTGTTACCAAGATCTGCACAAAACACTTGGCAATCTTGAGGTTCAGAAGACACTTGCAAGCTGGCAAGGAACAGAACCAGGACTCCTGACCCCAGTTTTCTACTCTAATCAGCCTCTTCCCATCATGCTGGGCACTGTGCTGGAACATTTGGTTCTCCACTGAATATGGGGGTATTTCTATTTCAGTGAAGTTTTCATTAAAACAGCAAAACACCTCCTACAGTTACAGTAGGGCCACTATATATATTTGTATCTTTTTTTTATATATGTATATAAAAAATAACAGAAGACTTCCTGTGCAGGGCAGTGTGTATTTTACCTCCTCTGAATCTCTTCAGATCGCTTCTTTCTGGCCTCCAGCAACTTCTGTTTCTGTTGCTTGAGCAGTGCAGAAGCAGAGACAGGCTGGATATTGGGCTCTTGCTTCTTCTCAACATCTGGGAGAAAAAAACAAACCAAAATAAAAAGCCACCAATGTTTGCTCAGAAGGAGGGTGAGTGATTTCAGGAGTGGGTTTTCCTTCAGGCAGAAGGACAATACCTGCTTTGGTCCAGTGCTTGCAGAGGTTTCGTGCTCCAAAAGTTGGCTGTGCCAATAGTTCCTTGAATTCCTCAGAACACTGCATGGGTCTCTTTCCTGCTCCTGGAGCAAAAGAGGCAGAAATACAACAGACCTGGAGCCAGGAAGGGAAGCAAGCCTAGGTTTAGGTTGGGAGAAACACCCCTGCAGGTCACCTGCGTGAGGACCCCCCCAAAGCAAGGCCAACTTCTACATTATATTTGGTTATCCAGGGCCTTGTGCTCACAAAGCACATCATGAAGACATTTCTATCCCTTCAGCAAGCCCATCAGTCAGCTCCTCCGCAGCCTTGGCTGCCTGTGGTACTCCCACCATTCCCATTTTTAGAATGCTTGAAAGCCCTGAAGCCACCACATCTTATCCCTGGAAAATTAAGAGCTAGAGACAGGGACACACACTGTGTTGTCTGCAATGGAGGGAACTGAAAGATGTGAACAAGATTTCTATGTATGTGGCACACAGAGCCCATAGTTTAAATCCTGTGTTATCTTTGTAAAAGGAGGATGTAATATTAAGTGCTTTACAGAAACAAAATGGAGGCAGAGAAGACTGGTGACATCCCAGAGACTATGGAAGGAATATGCTTTGAAGATCACAAAAGAAAAGCAGTAGGAACAGGCTGGGTACTCAGGAGGTCCCCTGCATTGCAGACCTGACTCTGATTTATACTTAGTATTCCTTGGAAGCTTTCAAGATTGACAGAAGTCATTTATTTTAATCAAAGAAAATAAATTCTCTGGTTCAAAGTCCTTAAAACCTCCATTCGCCTTAATCTGGCAAAGATCTTCTGTCACTGTCCAGAGACAGAACAGGAAACTTAATTCAGGGGCACTGATGAAAAACAGATGCATGGAGCTACCCAGTTGCTTAGTTACGTTTGCCTTGTAGCTACGCTCTCAAGAGGGAAGAGGGGTTTTGATCAATTGAGTAGGCAGCCTGCAAATGGCTATCTCTGTAGCAAAGCAATTGCCAGGTTCATTCAGTGAGTAGCAGGGTCCTGGGACACATGTACACATCCAGCTGGGAATATCTGGAAGGTGAAGAGACTATATGGGTAATTAGGTACCAATTTTCTGCTTGGTTTCCTGGACAATTGCATCGACTCCTCTCACGACGAGATTGGAGAGAGTGGTTTGAATCTTCCTTTTGGGCACTGCAGCTGCTGCACTGGAAAGAGGAAACAAAACCAGAGCATCAGTTTTCCCATTCTTAGAGGAATGTTAGCCCAGAGCTTCAACAAAACTCCAGCCTCCTTCAAGGGTGCCTCTCTTCTGTCTGACTCTGGGAATGAGGTGGAGCTAAATCCAAATTCTAGCTCAATGTTTAGGATCAACCATTTGTGCCTGGGTTGAGATATGTACTTCCTATGCATTGAGAGAAAACTAAACATAGGTAATGGTTAAGCTTTGCTCAGAGATAGTGCCAGGGACAGAAAGGAAGCTGGAACTGCTTCATTACTGTGGAGTCACACCAGTTATCAGAGGGCAGTGGTAAGGGAATGAAAGTCATATGCAAGCACAGGGCTTGATCCAGCTGTGACTCATCTTTCCACAGCTGTCTTCAGGGGAATTTGGATGGAGGACCTGGCCCCTCTATGCCTGTTATGAGATGCACACCGATCACTTAAGAATAAGCAGGGTGTACTACTGTCTCTTCATTGCCACACAGTGATACTGTGTTATTTCAGTCAAGGAAGAGAGGAGGAGGAAATACAGAATACACTGAATGTGGGATGAAATGCCATGAGCCATAACTAGATACAGTAAGGGAATGCCTCTGAAAAACAGTCATCTTGGAGACTAACCAAATGCTTGTGATCTCATGATAAAGTTCATTTCACCTACTGAAACACAATGTGCCTGGCTGCACATCACAGTATTAATTTAGAGGTAAAACCACCCCTTACCACGTCTTTGTGCTGACTGTTAACATTCTCCTACCAAACAGCAGCTCTGTTATCCCATGGGACCAGGAGGATTACACCAAACGTGGGGCATTTCTTCCTATCTGCTGAATGCAGTTATGGCAAAGGGATCACTAACTAAATAGACCCCCTTAGAGCTTCAGGCTTACTTGTAAGGGAGGGAAATCCTGTTACAAAGCAAGGGAAGTAAGTAGTTTATCTTACACTGAGGCTGCATATGCTGCTGAAGAGACTCCTCCATAGTAAAACCCATCCTGACAGAGCCGCTCCTTCAAAGTGGGATTCCTCCGGCCAAGCTTTTTGGGAATGCGGCCACCAGAGAAGGTGGACTGAAGATCTGCCCTCTTGGAGCTGAGCTTCTTGTACTGGGATTGGATGTGATACTGGCAATATTCACAGTCATTCTGAAAAGAAATGGGAGAAGCCTGTTGCAGAGCACTAGCAAGTCCAATTTCCTTCCTTTCTCTCACCCCCATGCATCCTTCTATGGCTGAACTGAAGGAACAGCTCTATTGTGCTGCTGCAGCATTTGATCAGTTCAACAAACTTATGCCCACACTGCAGCAATATAAAACAAAACTCCAGTTGTCCATACTAAACACTGGAAAAAGACCTGTGTGTTAAGGAATTCTAAGGTTATTCCTAGGCTCAAGTTAATTGATGTCCCGGGTCCTCTTGCTCAGATTCTGTACTCTTGACTCTAAACTGTATGTAGTTTTCTTACAGGTATGAACACAAAGGAACACTAATGGGTCAGTGTCAGTCCAGAGAGTTTAGAACTGAAGATAATGAGCTGCCAGTGAGAGACAGCAGTGCCTTAAGTGCACTCACTCAGGGTGTTCTTAATTTTCTCCCAACATCTCCCTCCCAGTTCTCGTTGATATTCATCTGCCCCAGATTTGTGTAACTACAGTTACGCACAATGAAATGTCTTCTTCCCTCTCCACACACTTTGATTTCCTCCCCAGTTCTTCAGTCCTTCATTTTCTCTGCTCCTTCGAAGTGCTACCCTACTACCTGTAACCCTTCCAACTTAGACAGGGTTCCTTTCAGGTATCATAACATCACCACAGCCATGAAGTGACATTATCCACAAGTCCTTTAAACCAGTACAGGTCAGTACTGCCCCTAAAAGAAGAACCCCAACACCTTCTTCCTCTCATCTCCAGTGCCCCACATTTAGGTATAAATATTCTGGCAGCCTGCAGGCACGCTGGACCAAAGAACTCATTAGTTTAAAACCATCTCTGAAAAACACAACCATTCCCAAGAAAACCTCCCGTTGTTTTACCTTGGATGAGTTCCCTAGTGCAGTGCATGGGAGCTTGCACTGGCGCAAAGGAGAGTGAAAGGGTATGGAGATGGTGGTCAAGACCATCTCTTTTCACTGCTTTGCATTTAGGGAACTACCATGCCATCACAGAAGCAGCTCCTCTAGGTTTCATTTCTCAGTTCCTCCACATACTTTAGTTACAAGTCAAAGAGTCAGAACATCAGAACAAAATCAAACATAAGGATGTCTTTCTAAACTACTGAGATACAGACCAGGTTCACAATCTGTGCACAGGGATCACCATTCTTCTTCCTGGCTTTGCAGGTGCCCATGTCCAGAGCTTCACCCATGAGAAGGATCTTCTGGGGATGGTCAACAGACAAACACACCTAGAAAGCAATCAGAGAGTATCTTGAGGAGGAACTGGATGGGTTTCTCCCTAGTTGCCACTGGTTTGGCTCTGATGCAGGTTAGTACCTCTGGTATTAACAGTGCAGCTTTAAAATGCAGGCCCAGTTTAAGAAAACCACACGTCCTGTTCACTCAGTGAAAAAAAGTGAATTTCTTTCTCACAAAGAGATAAAGATGTTGTATTTCTATGATGAGCCTCAGAAAACCAAAGACCAGCAAAGGCAGCTCTAGTTGTGAATGAATGATGGTCCTGTACAGCTCAGCTCTGACACCACCACAGCACCCACATTCAGCAGTGGATGGGAAGAGCAGAGGTACTAGAGCTCTCTGTCCCTCTCCATATATCTAGGTCAAATCAAAACTGATGCTATGCAAAAAGAGTGCCTACTTCACACCACCAAAGATACTAGGAATTGTGTCTGTAGGTAAGAAACACTTTGAGAAGTCAATTCTAGTGTAGTTCTAAATACGTACATTTTAGCTAAGAACAATTCTTCACAGTTAAATACAGCCCTGCACTAACTCTGCTGTGCCTTTCTACTCACCAACAGGATTTTCTACTGCTTATTCCTGTTAATTTAAGCAATTAGATGGCTTAATAGACAGTTAATGAGATTCTTCATTTTTCCATTTGGAGAATTTAGAATGCAAAACAGTACATCACCAGCTGCTAGCCTGAAATTCTGCTTTACAGAAGCCAGTAAAAATGGTTTCCATTCCAGTGCAATTAAAAACATATTAAACAAAAATTAATTTATTAGCAAAATGAAGCCACCTTAAACGTTTTGATACTTACAGCAAAGTAATTCGTCATGTTCTGCATTTAGAAGTAATTGATTAAACAGGCCAACTACTATTTATCAACTGACTTTACATAATATATCCTTTGTTTAATAAATCAGATGTTGCTCCATCTCAGTCATGATTTTGGAACCAGGAAATATTTTGCAATCACATCTCCTGCTTAAATTATAAGAGAGAAATGAGCTTCTCCACCTTTCTCAGCTTTGAGAGACCTCTAGGCTGAAACAGACATTGCACTGAAGTAGCTGAATAAACTGAAATGAAAACACACTCTGTACATCAGAGTCTGATCCGACTGCAACTGTGAGCAGATTAAACACTTGAATAAACTCTGGCTTTAGATGCTTAATAGGACTTCTTGCTTCTTAACAGGACTGGAAGCTCAGTCTTCCAGAAGGCTGGGGGCAAATACACACCATGCAAATATCTGAATACAATTTAAACTGTGTGGGCAGACTGCTGTAATTTCAGCCTTACTATGTGCTGAAAAGCTAATTCTCAAGCAGATACAAGAAAGTTCAGCTATGGGCAAGTGAAAAATCCTCTCACCTCATCTGAGCCTTCTTTAGGTTTCATAGGATTGGCATTAAGCAGCCCGATGACTGTGCCTTGGTCTGTCTTCCAGTGCTCTTTGTGGACATCACCAAACAAGAAGAGTGAGACACACTGATTGAGATCCCGTAGGTCATTCAGCCGCCAGATACTGAAGGTTCTGCCCTGGAACAGACATTCACTTTCCTTTCAGCTCTCTGTATAAAGACACTGACTACAGCCCTGTTGCTTTTGAAGAGTTATTCTGATTCCTACCCCCTGCCCAGTGTTTTTCTGATTTCATAGAATCCCAGACTGGTTTGGGTTGAAGGGACCTTAAAGCTCATCCAGTTCCAACCCGCTGCCATGGGCAGGGACACCTTCCACTAGAGCAGGTTGCTCCAAGCCCCTGTGTCCAACCTGGCCTTGAACACTGCCAGGGATGGGGCATTTAGAAAAGCATAATTTGTAACCTCAGTAAGAGGTTAGATACAACACCTCCAGCCATACCACACAGCCAGTTCTGGGGTTCCTAAAGGCTAAAATAGCACAATAATAGTGCTGCCACCAATGTTCGTGATAGTAAAGCTGGACAGCACTCTTGCTTGCTGAGTGAAGAGGTTTTTACCTCACTGAACAAACAAACCCAAAGCATATCCAGATCTCTGTTTCATCAATGACTTTCTATAGGACATGTATACCTCTAGGACAGAATAACCTCTAGGGAAATAATGGAAGCAGAATGTGTTGGCACATTTAGAACAAGAGGGCTGTCTACAAAGGGTCACAGTCCTCCTTTTTTTGTATTGGCATTTAACATATAATTAACACTGTCAAGACAGACAGATGCTATGGTTACATTAGCTAATGCTACTGTCTGGGACAACTGGTAAGCTAAGGACTTATCTGAAGGACTAAAAGCAGCATTACTGCATGAAAGCAGGCAAGCCAAGATCTTTAATACAGGAGCTTTTCATTGACTCCATGGAGTTGACTGATAAAGACCTAGTTTCTCAGGAAAGAAGACCAACATTTTACTTGAATTGAGCAAGGGATACAACAAAGTTACTTACATTATTTGTGCTCTGAGGAGTGACCTTCTTCACTATGACACCAAACGTTACCCAGTCTATTTCCTCCAGGTTTTCTACAGCAAGTTTGCTCTTCAGCTGGGACAGTCGGATGAGCTTCCTGTTAGCCATTTTCCTGTCCATTTCAGCTGAAGACACCCGGGGTTTTCTGGATCATATAAAAGAGAACACATCCATCGGCATAAATGGACAATAAAAATCATCCAGCATTCTCCTGGGGAGACTGTGTCTTGCTGCAAAATGCCTTGTGCCTTATTTCACTCAGAGGTCACTTGAAACAAAACCCCTCTGTTGAGGACACTGTACACACACCAGATAGATACTGATCACGCTGTTTGTTGTCCAAATAGCTGCACTGCAACTTAGCCCCGAGCCTGCATTAACTCTGCTCACTTCAGGAATGACTGAATACGACTGACTGAGCAGAGTTTGGAAACACACCGTGAGTATTCAGAGACCTCTTGTGGCCACGTCTAGTATGGGGATTGCGAGGCTTCTCAGTGTGGAGCAGAATGTGCTCAACCAGGGCACAGCTGGGCTTTGCACATGCCCACTGCTCCCCTCCTCCACCACTGAGGACATCCCAAGGAAAGCAGTGCTAATAAAATTATGGCTTTTTTTTGTTGTTGTTGTTAGAAAAGAGCAGAGAAATAGAAATACTACACCAAAAGTCAATGTTTCCTATTTACCGATCGCCAAGCCAGTGCTATGGCTTTGCGTTACATCCCCTAATGACAACTGACTGATGCGACATGGTTAAATGATGTCTATACAGCAACTCAGAAATCCAGTCCCCTGCACACCCCTTGTGTGACCAGCACCACAGGACATGGGACTGATTCCATTTTCACTCCCACTACTAGAGGGTGGTGCTCCCAGATGGAGCCCAGTGCTGGGCTGCTCACCTTAATCTCAGTCCTGAGAAGGTTTCCACAGACACTGGCTGAGTTGTTGCTCTGGAGCATGTAGGTATGTGAGGAGTCTTCTCTCTGGTCACCTTACTGGGTGTGTTCCCCACAGAAGATTGGAGAGGCTGGAATGCCAGGCTGAGGACTTGCCGTGGAGGAGGAGCCTTGTTCTCTTTAGCAGGAAAAAAAGCAAGGAAAAAACCTCTTGATCACGAAAGAAAACTTCTAACTAAAAATAACACTAACTTAAAACTGACCAGAGACAGAAGTCTAATATAACACACTTAAGAAAAAGGTGTGAAACTGTCTCATTTATACTGGTCTCACTGGGAACTGACAGTTCCAGACCAGCCACATGTAACTCAAGCAGACGTAACTCTGCCTGGTGATGAGCTTCCCAGGTCAGCTCTCATTTTCCAGGCAAACTAAGCTGTAGGATACACAGCTGCCAGCTGGACTGCTGTCAGTGTCCAAGTCAACCACAGCAGTACAGAGCACAGCACCTATTGCAAAGAATACACTAACTCACTCTGTAATAAGCTCTGTTCTGCTGTAACCAGACTGCTACTGGTGCACCAACTAGTGTAAAACTACCCTGGATGTGTCTATACTGCTGCTGTGAACTAGATGAGCTTCCTAAAACAGCCCAGTGTGATCCAGAGAGAAGGCAGGCTGAGAATGGTACCTGCTGAGGATGCTTTTGATTTCTGGGTTCCTCGCTTGGCTGGAGGTAAAGGATTGCCCAGCTGGGCTGAAAAACATGGTGACTCTTGCAGCTTCTGAACATTCCTTTCCTTTAAGGGTGAACAGGGAGATTTACCTGGCCAAGGAAACAAAATAATGTGACATCTCAGAACCTGGACTCAAACATTAAGAGTTGTTCCAAACTAATTAATTCTCTGGATAACAAATCCAAGTCAGGGTCCCACATGGAAGCCTTTCAGCTAAGTTGCCAGCATCTGAAATGCAAGAGCTGGAAAAGCCCCAAAGACTCTTCCCCATGATGACCTAAAACTTTGGATATCACTGAAACCATAAAGATGTGGAAAGCAGGAGCATCCCCTTGCTTTTGAATTCTCCCATGCAGTTTCATTACTATACGGAGTGTGCTATAGCAACAAACACAGCTGTATTTTCTGTGTGTTACAACATCTGCCAGTAAGAAGGGACACTTCCAGAACACCCTGGGGCACTTCATGAAAGCTGCCCCATGCAGAATCAATCCATAATGCAGATACCAAAACTGCAGCTCACTGACTTAGTCTGCAGCTGCAGGAAACAATCTGGGTGAGAATACACCAGGGCATCATTCCCTCCTTGCTGCTCCTAAAGTGGCCACTTTAGGATTATTTCCAAGGCTCCATCTTGCCTATAAATTCCATATTGGTAAGACAACAAATCCTAAACCCATTTAATTAGTCTTATTACCAGGGGTTTTCTTCTCAGGGCCTGAACTGGACTGCTGCCCAATAGCAGCCTTTTTCAACTGCTCCTGTAATGTCTTCATCTGTTCTTGCAATTTTTTCAGCTCAGCTAGGAAAGAAAGGAGAAGAAAAAGTATAATAATGCAGACAGCAGGAAGCCATTGCAAAGAGGGATTTATGAGATCCCTGGAAGTCTGGCAGCTTTACTACATCACAGGAACTTAGAAAACAAAGACTAGAGCCATAGTACAGATTTACTTGGTTCTAGGAAGCTCACGCTGCAGGGACAATTCTCCATACAGCCTGGAGCTGACTTCTCTCATATTAATATTTCACTTGATCATGCTAAGTTCCTTGCCATGTTGCATGTAACTCCTACAATTTAAATGGCTGATGATTGCACTCCTTAGCATAGAATCGTAGAATAGTTAGGGTCGGAAAGGACCTTAAGATCATCTAGTTCCAACCCCCCTGCCAAGAAATGCTTCTGATATAATCAAATATGTGGCTTGGACACAGGGAAAGCTCAGTGGCCAGCTCTGCTTCCATGCTGACTGGTACGGGAGAACCTCCTGCCAGTAAGTCCTGAAGGGGAAGGGATTGCTGTGATGGTGAAAGATGCCAGGATGACAACCCTGAGCATCAAAGCAACATTGTTCTTTATTTGGTAAGGCACAGGTACATAGGCACCTTCCCTATCCTGCTCACTAGAGCTAACTTGGACTCCCTGGCTTACTTAAGTCCTCTCTGTCCTTCTCTTGGGAAAATAGGTTTGGTGAGTTTGGCCACTGGGCATCAAAAACTGGACTTAGAAACTTTCTGTATTCCCACTCTGGCACCACCTTAAACTGAGAAGCAGCAGGCCCTGCCTTCCACCCATTAGCTCTCTAGGACAAGATGTATACAACAGAACAGGTAAAATATGCTGTTACGGAAACCTTGTAGTTCTTGGTTGGTTTTCTCTTTTGCCTGACTGTGAGCTGAAGTGGAGGCAGTTTCCTCTGCTGCCTCCTCCTCTTCCAGCAGGTCATCTACATCTCCAAACAGCATAGCCAGGTTCTCCTTCTGCTCATCCATCAGGCTGTCCTCAGCATCCACTTCCTCCGTGTAGGACGCATCATCTTCTGCATCAAAGAGCTCATCATATTCATCTGGTTCTCCCCCCTCATCCTCTGGAGCATCTTCCTCTTCAGGAGAATTCCTCTCCTCAGTTGCCTCGCTTTCTTCCAGGAGGGAGGCCAACAGATCCAAGTCATCATCAGCTAAGGTAAAAATGAAACTCAAGTGTTAAAGCTGCCACGGAATAAAACATCCAAGATACTCTAATTACAAGCTAATGACAACCAAAACTAAAGCAGAGCAGCAAGGAGCATTCAGCTTTGGCTAAAGGAAAATAGAGCAGCTTCCTGATGTGTGGTTGGATGGAAATGTGGTTGCAGACACTCTCAGCTCGCAAGCTGAGCTAGTCAGCAGAAAACTTGCAGGCTATTAGCACTGTCTTTCCCTCCTATGCAGCTGCTTGTACAATAGCTGCTTGTACAAATAAAAGCCTGGGGACCTGTAAAAGTGTAGCCAGGAGCTCTAGAGAGACACACATGTGGCTTTTGCCAGTGGAAGGTGAAGAAGAAGATGCAAGGCAGGCAAGAAAGCATGTTCTCAGATATGGTTTGCTCCAGGAAGAGCAGAGAGAACAAAGAAATATGGTCCAAAGGGAAAAATAATGGAAAAAAGAAAATCAAATACAGAGAGAGGAATGGGACAGACAAAGCATAACTGAAGTTCAACCAAGACAAGAAATTTCATTAGTTTTTGCTACTGAAGAAAACACAAAAGCAGGGAAGGGACAAAGCAGCCTCACAGAAAGGTGACAAGAATGAACCTCAAACACCTCTGCAAGTGAAATCAGTGGAACATCATTTCCTTTGCTAAAAGGTTTATCAAGTTTTTTGAACGCTTGAACTTACTAACTACATACTGATCAAAAGACAACTTTCCCACTGAAAGTAAGAGTACTTTCCCCCTTACCATCCATGATTTCACCAGGATTTCTTCAGCAGTCCTTCAAGGAAAAATATTCTCTGTTATGGAGAGAACAACAGTGGTAATGTTAAAGTAGATATAACTCCCCTAGAAACACATATTGTGTTCAGGCTCCTTATTTGATGATCTGCAAACCACCAGCTTGTCTTTGGTCACAGCTGCAGATGAGGACTCCAATAAATTTAAACCACTCGTGTACCTTTTGTACATCTAAAGTCTCACCTTTGCTGAACTCCCTGCACTGTAAAGGCATCACTTCCAGGGAAAAAAGCCCATAAGAGACACAGATTTTAAGAAATGCCAACCACATTCTCATAGTAGTAACCACTTTTACCTCATCATCCTGCCATAATCATAATTAGCATTTACCTGATTATTAACATTTAACAGTTAATAGAATTATGGAATGATTTGGGTTGGAAGGGACCTTAAAGCTCCTCCAGTTCCAACCC